CAGGCAAGGCCTTTGCCCAGCAGACGTGGTGGACGTGACGGGAAGCCGGTGCCCGCCAGGCCCGGGCAGGCCGAGCTCTCCTCGCCTGCTGAGCGGTTGTCCCAGCTCCTGCTTCTGCGCAGGGACCAGCGCATTGGTGGGCACTTCTGTCCTTTAGGTTGAAGGTGTTTATGTTGCTGCCCCCCAGGGGTCTCAGTGAAGGAGGGAGCGGGAGGGTCCGGCTGGAATCTGGGTGAGAGGCAGCTTTGAGCCCCATCCTAGGAGCCTAGTCAGCAGATTGTTGGGCCTGGCGGGGTCAGGGCATTGTCCCCACGGGGTCAGGGCAGTGGTGACCTTTGGGATTTGGCTGACAGAGCCCTAGGGCTGGGGCGGGGGTGGAGGTGGAGGGGGCAGTGGGCACTGCCCTGTGACAAGAGCTCTGTCCCCAGCCTGGCCCTCAGGGCGTGCACACACCTCCTGATGGGGGTGGGCATGTCCCTGGGCACCAGCCTGGGAGGTGCTTGGCCAGCTCGGGGGTGACTCCACTCCCTGTGTTCAAGGGCACTGGGCAGGGCAGCCGAGGGACAGCTGTGCCCCGTCGGGCAGCCAGCACGGGGCTGGGAGGCGTGGGTCCCGGCTGGCCCTCTTCACTGGCCTGAACAGCCCAGCCAGGGGCAGAGGAGTCAATATTTAGGTTGGCTCAGTCCCGGCCTCAGGATTGCGCACCCTGGTGTGTGTGATGGGAAGGAGGCTGGGACAGGAAGCTCCAGGGGAGGGTGCCGGCTGTGGAGAGCAGGGAGGAACTGGGGAATAGGGGGGCCAGCTGCTTCATGGGAACCCCAGGGAGAGGGGGTGTCCAGCCTGGGCCGGGGGAGGGCATGAGGAAGGGGCAGGGCCCCATCCTGTCCCTTTTGTCCTCAGCTCCCTGGTGGAGGCTGGGGGCGCAGCCAGGTCTCCCACCCACCGGGTGGGCATTCTGCAGACGGCTCTCGGAGAGGGGGGCAGCTGGAGCTGGCGGGGGGAAGGTGTAGGCAGGAGGGATGAAGAGCAGAGGAGGAGCCATGGGGACGGTGTGGGGACAGGTGCTGTGTGCCAGGGTGGGAAGGCTGTTGGGCTGGGGAGAAGGGGTGTGTGGGACAGTGACTTCAGTGAGGGGCGGGGAGGGGGTCTGAGGGAGGACAGTCTGGGAGGGAGGCTGCCCCGTGACCGTGACCAGGAGGGAGGAGGGAGGGAGGCTCCATGGAGGGGCTGGGAGGGACGGGGCTGCATGCGCAGCTGTGTGTGTGCAGAGTGGGGATGTGCACTGAGCCTCAGCAAGCCTGGGCCGGGCCCTGCTGAGACACCGCACCGGCCTGTGAGTGTGTGGAAGCAGCAGGTGTGTGAGGAAGACCC